GGTCCTGTTACTGGTCACCAGAGAGAAGAGGTCAGTATCAGTGCCTGCCCTCATGAGGAAGCTGTAGACTGCAATGAGGTCTCCCTTCAGTCTCCTCTTCTCCAGGCTGAACAAACCAAGTGACCTCAGCCACTCTTCATACAGCTTCCCCTCTAGACCTTTCACTATCTTTGTAGCCCTCCTTTGGATGCTCTCTAATAGATCTATATCCTTCTCATATTGTGGCACCCAAAACTGCCCCCAGGACTCAAGGCAAGATCACACCAGTGCAGAGCAGAGCGGGACAAGCACCTCCCCTAACTGGTTGGCGATGCTGTGCCTGATGCATCCCAGGGCATGGTTGGCCCTCCTGGCTGCCAGGGCACTGCTGACTCATATTTAACTTGGCATTGACCAGGACCCCCAGTTCCCTTTCTGCAGAGCTGCTCTCCAGCCTCTTGTTCCCCAGTCTGTCCATACATCCAGGATTGCCCCATCCCAGGTGCAGAATCTGGCACTTGCCTTTGTTGAACTTCATACGGTTGGTGATTGCCCAGCCCTCTCATTTGTCAAGGTCTCTCTGCAGGGCCTCTCTGCCTTTGAGGAAGTCAACAGCTCTTCCCATTTTATTATCGTCAGCAAACTTAGTTTACCATCGAGTCCTGCATCCAAGTCATTTATGAAGATGTTGAAGAGAACTGGCCCTAAAATGGAAATTTTTTGTTATAAATTGTTTGTTTTAAAGCTCTCAGGACTAGCCCAGGAGCAATCAGAGCAATTCTCAGCAAACTAATTTGAGTATGGTTGGTAACATTGATACTCTGGCTCAGTTTTATAATAATTTTAGTCTATCAATCTCCAAACCAAGATGATAAGGCAAATGGATCAATATTTCAGTCACTTAAACAAGCTTCAGGTCAACAGAACCTGGTTCTCAAGGATGACTTCAGCTGCCCAGACATTTGTTGGAGGAACAATACAGCAGCTCATATATCAGCCATCAAGTTCCTGGAATACGTAGAGAGAGGACTGCTTCCTCATACAAACGTTGGATGTGCTAAACAGAAATGAGGCACTGCTGGACTTGCTTCTCACAAATCAAGAAAATCTGCTTTGTAATATCTGTTAGTGATAACCTTGGCTGCAGTGATCACAATATTGTGGAATTGGAGAGCCAGCTGAGCATGCTAAAGGTTAGTATTAAGACAAAGGTTTTAGATTTTAGAAGAGCAAACTTCAGCTTGCTCAGAGCTCAGTTGGGAGGGATTCTATGGGAAGCTTCCACAGAGGATAAAGGTACTAGTGAGGGTTGGGAGTTTTTCCAAGAATGCTTTTTTGGAAGCACAAAAGTAATTCATCGCCAAATAGGCAGAGCAAGAGACCCCCTGGCTAAACTGCAAGCCTCCGAGTCTGCTCAAAACCAAGAGACGCATACCAGAGACGGAAAAGCAGACAAATAGCTATTGAATACTACAAAGGCACTGCCAGGGCATGCAGAGAAGCAGTTAGAAAAGCAGAAGTTCAGAACAAATTGAAATTGTCCAGAGATGTCAAAAATCTGAAGAAAGGGTTCTTTGTGTATGGAAACAGTAAGAAACAGAAGGAAAATATGGACCTGATGTTAAACAGGAGAGATGAATTAGTCACCAGCAATGCTGAAGAGGCTAGAGGTTCTCAACACTTTCTTCTCCTCTGTCTTCTTCACCCAGCACTGTTGGGCCCCAGGCCTTGGGAACAAAAATCCAGGTTAATGCAAATGCAGACCTACTGTCAATGAAGAAAGAGTTGGCATGTGGACTGTTACAGGAGCTTGACCCCAACAAATCGATGGACCCTAACACTGTCCACCCAAGAGTGTTAAGAGAGTTGGCTGACATCATTGCAAGGCTGCTTGGTCTCCATAACCTTTGAGAACTCACAGAGATTGGGGGACTGCCCAGGAGATTGGAAGGCTAATATCACCCCCATCTACAAGAAAGGATTAAAAGAGGATCACAGAGATTATATGTCCATCAGTCTTATTCAGTCTCTGGGAGAGTTATTAAACAAATCTTCCTTGGGGCTATCAGAAGTCAAATGAAACATGGGATTGGGAAAAGCCAGCACAGACTCACCAAGTGCAAATTATGCTTAACAAACCTGATCACCTTCTATGACTAAGTAACTGGCTTGGTTATGTGGGGCAAGCAGTGGACACTGTCTGCATGGATTTCTCCAAGGCTTTCGATGCTGTTTCCCACAGCCTCCTCCTACAGAGACTAATGTGTTATGGTCTAGACAAGCGGTCTGTGCAGTGCGTGGGGAACTGGCTGACAGGCCACACCTAGAAGGTGGTGGTAAATAGCTCCTTTTCAAACTGGAAATCTGTCACAAGTGGGGTCCCCCAGGGATCAATATTGGGCCCCAATTGTTGCCGGGCTTGCAAGGGTTGCAGGGTGAAGAGAGAGGCGAGAATCTTGACTCCATGATCAGAAGGCTGGATTTATTATTTTATGATATATATGTTACATTATGACTATACTAAAAGAAATAGAGAGAAAAGTTCAGAAGGTTGCTATGCTAAGAATAAAAAAGCAATGAATAAACAAAGGAGCTCTCTCTGATTCTGTCCCAGAGAGAGCTTGGCCTTTGATTGGCCCTTAATTGTAAACACCCAACATGGGCCAATCACGGGTGCACCTGTTGCATTCCACAGCAGCAGATAACCATTGTTTACATTCCCCTTCTGGGGCCACAGCTTCCCAGAAGGGGGAAAAATCCTAAAGAAAGGATTTTTCACAAAAGATGTCTATGACACCCAATGCTGTTTAATATCTTCCTAAGTAATCTGGATGATGGAATTAAGTGTACCCCGATGAAGTGTGCTGATGATACCAAACCGAATGGGGAAGTGGACACTTTGGAAGAAAGATCCTCCCTGCAGGAAGACCTGGATAGGCTGGAAGAGTGGGCTAACAAGAACCTTATGAAGTTCAACAAAGACAAACATTTTGCACCTGGAAAACATCATCCAGGAATGCAGCATAGGCTAGGATCTATCCCAATGGGAAGGTATTCTGTGGAAAGGGCCCTAGGGATCCTGGTGGACAATAAGCTGAATACGAGTGAACGTGAGCTGCTGTGGCAGAGAGCCAACAAGATGCTGGGTTGCATCAACAAGGGTGCCACCAGCAGAGATAAAGAAGTCATTCTCTCACTCTACTCAGTGCCTTGTCAGGCCACATTTGGAATACTGTGTTCACTTTTGGTCCCTGATATACAAAAGAAGATGTGGGCAGGCTGGAGAGGGTCCAGAGGAGGGCCACAAAGATGATTCAAGGACTGGGAAGGTGCCATGTGAAGAAAGGCTGAGAGAACTGAGTTCATTCAGCCTTGAGAAAAGAGGGCTAAGGGGAGACGTTATCACCATGTTCCAGTATTTAAAAGGTGGCTACAAAGAAGATGGAGACTTCCTTTTTACAAGGAGTCACATGGAAAAGACAAGGGGTAATAGGTACAAGTTACTCCTCAGGAGATTCCAATTGGACACGAGAGAACAATTTTTCCCAATGAGAACAATTAGCCATTGGAATAATCTCCCCAGGGAAGTGGCAGATTCCCCAACACTGGACACTTTTTAGGTGTACTAGGGCATCTTGTCTAGACCATGCTTCTGCCAAGCAAGGTTGGACCAGATAATCCTTGAGCTCCCTTCCAATCTGGTGTTCTATGATTCTGTGACAGAGTATCATAAACCCTGAAGATAATACCAAATGGGCAAACTGAGCTGCTGCTTAGTTGCCACAGTTCAATTTTTTCTTGCAGTCTGAAATACGCTTTCTACTGGAGACTCATTTTAGATATAATTTTTGATTATTAGGGAACTACATATTATTTAAATGAAACCAAACACAAACCAACCAACAAACCTTCTCCTTCCCATCCCTAATCGTTAACATTATTGCTGCCCGTGAACCCTGGACAGCATTTGATTATCCCCTTTTCACACTTTCTTTTCACACTTTGCTAGTGTCTGCTGATGCTGCTTTCACTTTGTAAGTTTTGCGCATGTCCCTGTTCAAAATCACCCTCAAAGAACAAAACCAAAACACAAATATAAATAACAGTGCAACATGAAACAAATAGTATTCTAACAGTTTGGCAAGTGATTAATTCACCTGAGATTTAGTGATCTTTAGGCAGTCTGTAACAAAACATTGCTTTGCAATAAAAGCACAAAGGCAACAAATTATTTTAAGAAATCAAGAAGGTATACAATCTTGATTACGTCTCATTAGTTTCCTTCTGTTCTCTCTTCTCCCACCTATCTGTTGCTTGTCTACTACATTTGGCTGCAAAACATACATCAAGGATTGACTTTGAAGGCATGTAATGCTTGTAAATAAATCCACAATAGGATCCAAGCTGAAGAGGTGATACATGATCAGCCTACAAGGACAATTCTGAGCATGTGCATATGCAGGCAAAGTGCAGGCTACATCAAATTAAAAGTCAGGGCATTTGTCAATTTTGTCAATTTGTCAGCCTTCATCTCTTTTTTTTTTTTTTTGGTAAAGCTGTCATTTGTTCCTTGTTGTACAGATTACAAACAACTGGGGAGGGATTGGTAACAACAGTCCATCACAAATGAGAATAAGTTGTAGTGACACTTAACTGTATAACATAAGTAATAAGCATGTGCAAATTTTCATAGAATCATAGAAAGCAGCCATTCCTCTCTTACAACATTACAACATGGTTTGAGTGTTTTGAAACACCTGACTGCATGCTAATAAGGCTTCTCCTATTATGTGCTACTATTTAATGGAAGGGGACGCAAGTTTTCAAGCATGTGGAGCAGTCCTATGATGTGCTGTAGGTGTCAAAAGCATGATCACAGGTTCTTTTCATTTCATTCAAGAGCAATTCATTGCAAGAGCAATATCATTTCCTTTAAAAGCAAGTCTCCACTATGATACCTTGATCTTCAACACAGAAGGTGGGATTCAAAACCCAAGTGAAGTCAGTTTTTATGGATACCTTCAACGAGAGGGGCAAGACGGTATCTCATCTGTGGGCTGATCTGGGTTTGGATCAATCTAACCAAAAGAAAAAGAAAAAACCCCAAAACAACAACAGCAAGAAAAAATAAACAACAAAAAAACCCAGCCAAACAATTGACCAAATAAACCCAGAACAAAAAAAAACCCAAAAAAACCCAAAAATAAAAGCCATGACAACTCAGTGCATTTCAGCATCAATTGTTAGGAATAAAAATCAAAATTCACAAGTTTAAGACAATTATAATATGTGGCATTTCCAGTCCAGGTGTTATTGAAATAACTGAAAAACTTCTAGTTACACAAAACTTTGGATAAACAGTAATAGAAATATTAGATCCAGTGGAAGACTTTAAACTACAGGTTGATGTCAATTTAAGCATGAATAACTGCTATAAAAATTTTTTTCTCCTTTACTCACACAGAAGTCTTTTGAATTATCTGATATATACAAAAAAGATTACTTGACACATACCACTGGAAACATAATTTAAGAAATATTTACTTGAGAGAAGCAAAGAAGTTTTTCTTGAAATGGTAGAAATGTATCAATAAAAAAATCATTCTACTTTTAAATTAAAGTAGTTAATACTCAAATATCCTATGGGATGTTTCAAAAAGTTCATGTGCTCTAAACTTTACCTCTTCTTCCTCTCAACAGGAGAATTAAAGGGTACAAGCCTGCTAACTTAGGTCTCAAAAAAAAGATGAAAGAATAGTTTACACGTACATTGCATCTTCTAGACATTGAATCAGTTAACATCATGTAGCCCTTTGGTTTTGCATTTCAAGCCGGGGGGGGGGGGGAGATGTCATGTTACATAATGCTATTTTCCTAAAGTGGATCAATTCAGACCAAATACGGCCAGAGGACACTTTTTTTTTCATTTGTCCTACATCACTTATTTTTCTTGAAAAAGAAAAAAAAAAAAAAACAACATGAAAAGCTTTGAAATTTGCATCTCATTCATGGTTATTCGGTGGCTGCATTTTTAATTCTGTGAAGGACAAAAGTGTCGAAGAACTGTGTACTTCAGAAAACTTAAGTCATAAATTAATACCAATACATCACTTTTCTACGTGAAACTTCTGAAAGGCCTACGTTCAGAGAATTTAAACACACATACAGGCAAAACAGATTAGTGGTTGCTATAAAATGTTAGGAAGCGGCAGAGGTGAAAGAGTTGAAACCTTATTTTTAATACACAAATTTTTAAAAATTATGTTTCTAAAATGGCAAACACCACTTTGAAAATTTCCAGAAAGTATTAGACTAGGGAAGAGTGCTGCCAAGAAGAATTACCTCCCCCTGTTGGCAGCTCCAGGACATAGCATGATGGAGAAGCCAAGGCACCTCATGGAGCACATTTTACATTTAAGGTTGCAGAGTTCACATAAAAAAAAAAAAAAAAAAAAGGAAAAAAATTATAAAAAGGGTAACCCATGATGTAAAACAGGCATGGAAAACTCATGATGCAATTCATCTGCATCTTGCAAACAAACAAAAATCCTCCTCAAAACCAGCTTATTCCATGTTCATAATTTTAATGGTTTCTTCCAATTTTAGGAAGGAGAAACATGTTTGTAAACTTATTCCATCAGACAAAAAAAATCAGCCACAAACAATATATAAATCATCATAGTCTGACAGATATACCTACTTCTGAATATAGGGGAGGAGGCAGAAAACGAAACTCCTGGATGTATGCAAATAATGGTCCTTGCAGTGCTCTCTGAAAATCATCAAAAGCAGCTACAGGAGCAAGGCCAGACTGTCTGTTTTCCTCTGTGACCACTTCTGCATAGTTAGGAGGTGCTGGAGGGAGAAGGTACATACAGTTCAAACAACAAGTTCTTATGCACGACAAAATATACAACATGATAAATATTAAACTTCAACCACTAAAAGATTCACCAGCAGATAAACGACTTTAAAATTGTTAAACAAAAAAGAGAGACTATTTTGTTCTATTCTGATATTAAGTTTATGTTCAAAGACAGACTGACCACTGTTTATTGTGGCTGAATTATCCCCTTAAAATTTAAATCAGACCAAAGAAAATTTATTCTCTGTACAAGTAGAAATGACAGAACACTGCAGTCCTCTGTACTCCAGAAGTCTCCAGGTCTGGGATTTGCACTTAAAAAAAGCAAGATATTAGATGTGCAAAAAGAGAAGGAAGGAAATACATAATTCTTTCTTTGACCATGAGAAATCTCCCATAGAAAAGAATATTATCTTTTCACAAAGCCTTGGCTACTAAGGCTGATGAGAAAGCCCAGAAACTGCTATTATGGGTTGCAATGCCTTATAACCAAGGATGCAATTGGGATACTGGAAGTGGAAGCAATGAAGTTATGCACAGATACAATGGCATCCTGTGCTTTTTTTTCTGCCGCTTTCCAAAGAAGCTAGATTTCACTGCCTGTCCTTGAGACACAAAGGCAGGGAGGGGAAAAAAAAATCTCTTGCTCTACACAGAACAAGCAGGTGGCAAGAAAACATCCACAATAGATCTCCTGTGGGCTTTATTATAAAAGCATGTAATTTGACTCTGTTAACAAGACTACAATGAATAAAGCAGACAAAAATCAAGAGAGCAGCAAATTGATTGGGATTTGTATTATCATGCTACCTTCTAGTCTTTCAGGCAGAGTCAGACCAAGCCAGTTCATGCTCATGCTACCCTGGCTGCTTACGCTTGATGTTCTGCTACCAAATGGATGTAGAGGAATGGTACCAATGACCAGTGGTAAGTTAAGGAACAAATCCACAGCTCCTGGAATATCAACATATACCTGAAGAAAAATGAAACAAGTATATGATTAAAATGGGTTTTATCAGCATTTCATAAGTATTAGTCTAAGTTATCTTTCTATGAAATTTTTTATGAGGAGCTTGTTTCTAATAGCCCCTGTGAAAAACTCCAATCACTTGTTTTCAAAGTTTTAAAAGTTTATTGGTAATAAAATGGTTATAAAAATAGTAATATAATTAGAATAATAAAAATTTGGACAATTAGGATTAGGACAATATAAGACAATAAAAACAAAGAGTTACAGACGTCTGGGTACCTTTTTCTGGGCAAAATAAGCCCAAAAAAGGACAAAGATTAACAGAGGATTAACCCTTAAAAACAAAAGCCTGCTGCATATTCATACACTGTTGCGTTATGATTTCAGGGTTTATCTCAGAAACCCGAGTACCTCCCCTGAAGATTCCCTCTCAGGTTTGTCAATCATCATTCCTTTCCTCACCCTGACCCCTGCCGAGAACTGTCTGTCAATCCTGGAATTCCAGAAGGGCCTTGAGTGATTGGCAGATTCAAAGGATGCCTTCTACCCCAGGGGGAGGGGGGGGGGGGGCATTGGGCCATCCAGGTGTCCTTTGTCCCCTAAGACCTCCTCCCCTGTACCTGGTTGGTGGGCTTCCTACCCCTTCTCTCCCCCTCTCCCCGGGGTTAAAAGGGCAGGCAACCACATGGCTCGGGGAGTTCTGTTGGAGCTATTGCTGGATTCAGAGGCCTGCGGGCCAGAATAAAGCTCTGGATTAAAACCCTCCATCAGAACCGACTCCTTTCCTTCACCATTGCCTTAAAGATTGTCCGTCAGAGGAAAACCTGAGGAGCTAACCCTCTTCATGAGGAAGCTCCATCCCACCACCACCAGAGCTCCAGCATGCCTGGACTTGTCTCCACATGCCCAGCCACAACACAAAGCTAGCCAAAAGTGTCTCTGGGATGAAACACCACAGTTGCCACTATTTGGTTCAGCAGCAAGGGTCAGACAAGCTAAGGCACATCCCGTCCAGCTATATTGGTAAATATATCAATAATACACCTCACACATAATGCATAAATTCCATTCAAACAAAGAATTCTGTCTGGTCAGTGTCAATTTCTTCCTCTTAATCCTAATGGAGTCTTCAGCGCTGAGCAAGGCAGGAAGAAGTTAGTTTCTTCTGATAAGGGAGCAATAAATTCTTTTTCTCTGAAAGATTTAGGTGTCCTGTAGCTGCTGTCTTGCTGCGAGTCCTCTCTTTAAAAAAAGTATCTGACATAGCATAGTTTCTATTATAACATTATGTTATAACCTAAAACTATATTTAACACACTACTTAAGAAAATTAATACAGCATAACTTTCTAAAATAACACATGTAATAGTCATTTAAATATTTGCAAAAAGCCAGTCATAAAATACACATTTTTCACAGCCCCTTTTAGGGTCCATGCCCCTATGAAGACATGAGCTCTTCAAGTTGAGAAGAGTCTTAACATGAGCCCTCACATGGAAATGCAGTGTACTCATTAAATGCTCGCTTAGTTGACAGACAACTGCTTTGAGAACTTGCATGATTTAAACTAAATTTACTTACCAGACCTCCTGTCATGACACTAATACCAGAACATGTATTTCTTTCATAACTAATTGTAATATATGGTAGGGATAATTCATGCTATTAATGTATAGTATAAAAATATTGTGAAACCCAAACCCTGTCTTTTGACTACTCCGGCCCGGGAGCAGCTGTCTTATTCAGATTCAACTAGTTCCCTGACGCACGTTAAGATAACAATCATAACAATCGACGCCTTAACGTAAGAACAGAAGCTTCCAGGGCGATGATCGTTGGTTTCCGGAGCCACTCGAAAGCGATTAGAAAGCGATTATCGCCTTGCCGATTGCATCTATCAAGATAGTCAGTTGTGCCACCCTGATACATCTGAATACACGGCTCCTCCGAAGCCGATTGACACCAACGGCACACCTGGATGAGGCTTTTGTCCACCTCTGTACATGGAAAGCAACAGTGATTCATGTGAAGAGACACAAAGGAAATTTGGTCATCTTTGCATCGGGCAGAATAAACTGTATGAAACCTCGCTGCGTGAAGCTGCGAGTGTGAACCGGGGGAACTCTGACACTCGGGAGGTCAGATCCCTGTTCACCTGGCGCCGATCCCGGGCTCGACGCTGTCTCTTTGGCTGTGGTGGTTTCAAAGACCGAATTTCGGTCTCACAGACAAATTAATAAATCTTTGATAATTTTGGCTCACGATTTGATCATTTATAACACTAATCATCACAAAATGCTGTGCTAGAAATTTGTATGGCATGTTGGAAGCTACTCATTCTCGCGAGTGAAACAGACTGCCCAACATACCATCAGTGAATACTCCACACGGATTATACTACAGTCAAGGATTGAAGGGGAAACAGGCGGAATTTTCAACTGTTTGCCATTCCAGGTTTCTGTTTTGCCAGATGACAAGGATTCCCCACGGAGGTTGGCAACAAGCTGTCTGACTTCCTTCATTTTCCCTTTGGCATAGAATGCCTGCGTTTGGTAAATGGTTGCCTTTGGCACTACCATACGGGAAGAGCAATTCTCAATCTCTGCAAAGATCTGAATTGATTCACCTGAAACAAAAAGGAAAAAAAAACCAAAACAAAAACTCAACAAAACACACCAGAATTTCAATTTCTCTTTACATTTACAAGGCAGTTTAAGCAAACTTTCACATTCTTTATACTGTTATAACAATGCTGCTATCACTGCTCTACCTTACAAAAACCACATCCACTGATGCTAATAGAAACAAGATCCTCATGAGCTGTTTTAAAAGGAAAACGAAAACAACACATTAAAAAAAAAAAAAAAAGCCAGTCTAACACCCAAAACATGCCAGTCTAACAGATGAGGTCATTGAACCATCTAGAGATACAAGTTGCTCTCTCTTCGTTAACAGGGTATGCAAAGATTGCTAAATGCAGACTGATGTGGTACAAATATCCTTAATGTTTCATTTATGTTAAAACAGTAGTACAGACTCCAGCTTTAAAAAGGAAGGAAAATCACACAGAATTGATTATAGGATCACATACCTGGGGTGTAGCCCTTTCTTTCAATTTTCGCACTTAAAGATATTGGGCCTGAGGTACAAAGCCAACAACATAGAGTCTTTTCTTTTGTGCCTGCTTGGGGTGACTGCAAGAAGAAGAAAAGTACTGTCCATCAAATTACGAGCTCCATGAATCTCATCGGGTATTTAAACCAACACAGGAAAATAATAATTTTCATTATGTGCTTATTATTACATATTTTGATAAACAAAGCTGCTTTCATAGGAAAAGTCTCAAGCAGTTTAAACAACATTATACAGATACAGTGTTTGTCCTAATTCCACTGGTGTATTTGTATTGCTTTTTCTGTGATCCTCCATACTACAGCTACAATTACATCAATATTAAAAGAAAATACTGTATAGGTTAAAACAAAAGGCTTCATAGCCTACACATCCCAACATAATGCTGCAGAGCTTTTAATTTAACTAACAGCAGATTAGAACATCTTCACACTTTCCATTATGCTGCATTTCCAAAACAAAATAACTAAGCTAAACTACTGTAATCTTTACTCCTGCTATTTCCTCAGTTTCTGAATAATCCTGTTTCATCTATGTTAAAACGACTTATTTTACACAACACCAGGATTTAGGGCTTGAACCAAAGCCCACTAAAGTCAAATGAGAGACCTTCAGTTTTCATGGAGTTTTTACAACGTCCCTTTGCAAGCTGATTTTTCACCCATACACACAAGAAATCTGTTTCAATGGTCTTTTGATTTTCTTTCCCCTCTAGATTAAAATTTGAGAAGGGAATAAAAAAAAAGGATTTTTAGGCCAGACTGAAATCAAATCCTCACTGAGAGCAGTTGTGATATTAAAGTCATTTTAATGAAATGATATTTCAGAAAAGGATTATACAGAATTGCAATCGTTTCCTCCCCATTAGTGGAAAACGATCCATATGGAAATTACCAATTATGCACTGCAGTAACTTTTTTCGTTTGCATTTTTAAGTTTGCAGTCTCTCACTAAAATATTAAGCATTGCATTGTTCCATCATAGATTATTCATTATTTATAATTTAAGAGGACCAGTTCACCAAATTTCTTCCTTAATGAGAGTCTACAAGTTGGTAGCATCAGTTTAGACTGAAAAATGCATTTTACATCTTGTAAAGATCAAGCAACTCCAAGTACAGCATAACTTAGCCTTCAAAATACCAGCAGTTAAAGAGTTGTTAAACTGATATAATACTTAAAAGAAGAGCTGTACTTAAACTAGCAAATAAATATTAGGTATAGTTACATGCTGACGTTCTTTCACTTATTATACTTCATTATTTTTATGCCAGAAAAGGAATGAGTAGTTCTGTCAGTTCTTACCAGTAACGAAGGAGTGTTGATGTCTATATGTTCAAAGACTGTAAATTCCTTCTTTAATTTTACTGGTAGAAGCCAAGGCCTATGCAATTCAGCTTTCACCCAATACCGCACACTGCCGTGTCTGCCTTCGAATGAGGTAGCAAGTGGTCTGTGCAGGACAAAGGTCAAAATCGAGTAAAGTTTTTCTCTCATTCCAGTACAATTGATCAGATTTGGAATTAGTATGTTGTTGAGGTTTAGGATTTTTCCTTGTGTTTCTTTCTCTTAGGGAATATTCTCCCATTTTTATTGCTAAGAAACAATAACGGCCGGTACTTAAGAGAAACAAAAGAAGTAACCACAGAGAAGGGGGAGGAGTGCAGCTGGCTTTACTATCGTAGCTAAGGGGGCATTGTCCTAGAAAGGGCAGAGATATAGTGATATTTGGGCTGAGGGAAGGGATTGGGTGCAGCTTCTAGCTCTCACGGAGTCGGGTGATTGATTGTTGCTCTTGTTGCTCCCTGGGGGGGGGGGGGGCGGGGAGGAGGAGGAGGGAGGAGAATTCACTGCTGCCACCGCGCCGCAACCCAGCCCTGCTCTGCTTCTTCTGCCGTGGGTGAGCCTTTGCTCGTGAAAGTAGCCACTGAACTGGGACGTTATTGTCATAGATGGGTAATGCGATGGTTGACTCTCACAATTAAAAGGCAAATATGTATATATATGTGAAGAGAAGTTTTAAAGACTTATGTTTTACCCCCCTCCCTTGCATTGTTATCAGGAAGTGGCCTGGGTTCGGGATATTTGGGAGGGTCGGCTTGTTACTATGGCAACATCTGACCTCCAATCAAGATTTAAGGAAGCAAACTCCACCACTGGACAGCGAAGAAGGAATCGATGGACAGAACTTTGGGTGGGGCTAAAGGGTTAAAAGGCAAAACCTCCATTGTCTGGGTGAACACATGGCGGGAAAAATCCTTTGCTCTCGGCGCCGTAATATTTTCTCTATTCAGTCTTCTGTTGTAGTTTTAATAAGGTTTTAATAAACCTTTTAATTTTTTTTAAAAGTGAGTATAATTTCTCACATTATTAACACCCTACCTCACTAAAAAAAAGGGCTCTCACCATCTGCTTGGGTACCTCAGGGGAAACCCCGGGATCCCGAGCCCTTTCCCCCTCCCAGGGAGCCTCTCCCTGCCAGATTTGGGAGCTGGGCTGCCACTGCCTGGCCCCCACCGTTTCTTTGCCTCTGCTCCGGATTTTTTGCTACACTGTAGCCCACACCTCCTGCCTGCCAGGATGCTCGGCGGCTCCAGCTACAGCGTTTCTGATACATCTCGTCTACCACTCCGGGATTTTGTTCGTCCCTGTTGTTCCAGCTTGCTGCTTCCGAGGTCCCTGCTTGCTACAGCTCCTTTTGCTATGCAGAGGGGCATCAGGATCAGCTGCCCTTGGGGGTTTGTAAAGGAAGCCCCTTTCCCATCCCTTCTGCCGGCTGTGCCCGCCATTGTCCACGTGCAGAGAGACGACTGGTGTCACGCCACAGCGCCCCCTGCAGCCGTGGCGAAATCATCTCACCTGCCCTTCCCAGCTGAGGAGCCATCAGTGCCCCTGGCGGCTGTGACCATAACTACACCAAAGGGGAAGGTGCCTGACAGCCGAGAGAAGGCTGTTCCTGGGTTTCTGGTTTTGTTTGTTGTTGCTGTCGTTGTTGTTCGTTTGCCTTGTTATACATACTAGTAAAGAACTGTTATTCCTTTTCCCATACGTTTGCCTGAAAGCCCCTTAATTTCAAAGCTATTCGGAGGGAAGGGGGTCATATTCTCCATTCCAAGGGAGGATCCTGCCTTCCTTGGCAGACACTTGCCTTTCAAACCAAGACATATGAAGAACTGTATTTTTAATGTATCATAATATGCATAACTTATTTGCAACATTCCCATATCTCAGAAAAACGTAATGTTAAAGTTGGGGAAATATATCATCCCCGATTCATTCAACAGTAGTTTTGTAGAAGTTCTAAGAAGCAATTAAGGAATTGTGCAAGAAAAGTGCCAGAAGAATATACATCTCCTTTAGAGGCCATTTTCAAGTGTAGAATAAAGCATGCCCTTTTAAGGTCAAATTAAGGCCACCAAGAAAAATTAGCATTACTACCATCCCATTATTATTTTGGACATTGTATTCTGTAAATAACTGTGTATTATTTACTTGGCTGGTATCTCAGTGGTTTAACTATAAATGCTTTTGTAGTTTGTTTTGCTTTAAGTACAGTAGTTAAAAATTTCTATGTAAAGTTCTGAAGAGTTTTTGAGCATCGTCTAATTTTCCTTTACCCTCATGAGATCATCTTAATATATATACACGCACACATAGAAGATAAAGACTATTCTTCTGCTCTGAACACTGAACGACAAAATCCTTTTAGGGAGTTGGAGAGGGAAAAAAAAAATGCAGATAGGGATGTCAAACCTTTCAGCATTACCCTTTTATCCTCTTCCTCCTCCTTCCCCCTCCCACCCCCCCATCATAAGATGGAGGACATAAGATTTTTATATTCCCTTCATGTCCCATTAACTGTAACTTGTCTTTTCCTAACACTTTCATCCTTTAGTCTCCAGGAAGAATTTTTATATTGCACTATGTTTGAAATGCATCATAATAAAATATAAGTTATGGGCAAAGCTTCCCTCCCTAATTTCTATATCAAATAATATTAGCTGTGCTATTACTTTACTAGAAAGAATCATTCTGCTACAAGTTTGACATCTCTATTTGCACATCTGAAATGTTTACTTTTTTTCTTAATAACGCAAATGAAAGGATTTTCTAATCAACTTTCAGTGTTTCATCCTGCTGCAGTATCCTTAAGAAAAACAAGAAACAAAAAACAGTAAGGCCAGTCAGCATATTTGTTCTTTTCACAATTGCTTTGTATTTGGTTGCACTGGGTCTGGCTGGGATGGAGAAATCTTGCCTCATAATAGCCCATATCATGGAGCATTCACTACACATACTGAGGCCCTGCTTTTCAGGAAGTGGCTGGACATTTGCCTGCTGATGGGAACTAGTGAATTAATTCTTATTTTTGCTTTGCTTCCACATACAGTGTTATGAACAAAATTCGGTTAATATTTTTTTTGAGAAAAAAAGTTACAAAAAAAAGGCAGCCAGATCACTGTAGCTGCCAAAGCTCTTCGTGTTTTGTTATTGTAATCACGGGTCGTTGTCGTTAATGGTTGTTTTTGTGTTAGTAAAAGCCCTGGCTGGGGCGAGTTAATGGCCCTCCTCAGACACAGTGAAGGGTGAGGACCTTCCCAAACTGTGACGAGAAGGGACCTGGAGGGTGGGGGTTATGCAAAGTGACTCCAAGGACCAGAATGCTTTGTGAGACCCCCAACTCCAAACCCACGGAAAGACCCCAAAACCAACGAGCCAAATAAGAGTTGAGAGACTGGAGTGATGTCTGGACGTGAGGAGCCGAGTGCTGAGCCGGCAGAGATGCGGAACACCTTCGGAGCCTCTCGCCCTGACCAAGAGAGACGACCCCGGCGGTGAGACCAGGCCGACTGAGTGGGAGGGGCACCATCTGACGGGGATCAGCAGGCCCTGAAGGCTCCCACGAGGATCTGATCCCCAGCTCTGCCCCTTGTGGACAAAGCTGTGCATATCCTCCTCCTCTGAGTCGCCCTCGGAGACGACGGGACGCTGCAGACCTGCCGAGCTACCCAATCCTGAGCTGATCACTTTTAATAAAGGCATTAAAAAGGAGAAGAAGTCTCCTGGCCCTGTTTATTTCATACAGCTTTTGTGGTTTTTTATTAAAACTGCCTTTATCTTGACCCACAAGCTTGTCCATCTTATTTTCTCTCCCTGGCCTGTTAATGCAGAAGAATGAGAGAGCAACTGCATGGAGGGCTGGCAGGCAAGCGAGGTCAAATCACCACATTGGTCTTGTTTAAAATAAATTTTAGAAATATTCCATGGATACAAAATAGTAAGAAATGGTAAGGAGGCAGTGTCAATCTAGTGTTCTTCAGGCCTTTTCCTACCAGCCTTCATTTTTTCCTGTATTATCAAAGATGGCTTCATAGTTATTCTTTCAAGTCACTTGACAAGACCTTTAGTGTTTTAATCAATTCTTGTGCTATTTTAGTGGTCATATTTGAACATTTCTTCCAACTCAAGGGAATATCAGTATCATCCTTATCACTTCTTATAGAAGAGTTTTTCATTTGAACCTTAAATTGATTTCTAAGTTTCCATACATATGCATCCTCTTCAGCATTCTAATAATATCGACTGTAAAGCCCTGCGCTCTTTGCGGAAACTGATCTGTAAAAGCATTTATCATCTGCAAGTTCTGTTAAAGCCAGTCCCTCTAACAAGCAGATGTTTTATTAGCTTTAAAATTCGGTATCAGTCTAATATTCTGCCTAATTTTTTTAACCTTAATGACTTTGGTACCTGGCTTTTACAGTAGAAGGCTCCTCCTACCTCCTTTCTTTCATCTATTTCCAGACTCTCTCTGTTCCTTCATATTTAATTTTCCTGCAACTTGTGCTTGAGCTAATTTCCATGTTGGTAACTCCTCTATGTATAAATCTTCCCTTCACAATGCATACATTAGAATCCTCAAATGTGTGTGTGTGTGTGTGGCAATTTATCTTAAGACTTCTGCTATCACTCTTGCTTCACCTTTGCTTTCTGAGTAAAGCAGGATTAGGTATGGGAATGTTTCTTGCTTCATCCACCCATCCATTTGGTTTTTTTTCCATCCTGGCTGTTTTGTCTAGAGGTCAGCCTGAGTACATACATCCTATTTGAAATAGAAAAAAAAAGCCAAGCAAACTCTTATTTAGTTCAAATGCAGTTAAGCCTGCCACATCTCTTTCAGACTGAGCTTGAACAGTTAAATGCAGTTAAGCCTGCCACATCTCTTTCAGACTGAGCTTGAACAGTTAAACTGTTATCACTAGGTTCTGATGGCCTGCATGGCTCCAGTAAAATCTTGTTTAATTTAGAAGATACCTCAGCCCCTCTGCAGGACTCAAATGACACCAGTTCCCCTCCCTTCTGTGAAGGGGTCCAATCCTCCATAAGGAGCCAACATACCTCAGTCAAAAGAAAGAGTACCAAGTGGGCAAAAATGAGCTTCTGTTTTGTGAACAACTCTTAACCAGTTTAAAAGCAACCTCTTCAGTTTAATGAGATTTTGTCCTCTACTGCATGTCTGAGCACAACTCCTACTACCACTGAAAAGGTTTCCCTCCCCCCACAAGAAATTTTCTTAAGCAGGTATGTATCTTAGCCTTCTCTCACACAAGCTGTGTACTGCATGTAAGTACTTACATCTGTGGAAGCTCAAAGCTGAATGCATATTCATGCCTTCCTGAATGAATGATGTGAAGGCCTTCTTCTGTATTGTCATCATCTAGGAGGGAAAAACCCAATATGCTATTCCACCTGTGAGCATTTTACACAGCACAAAATATTATATAGGTTTCTTTTCCAGCATAAGAGGGATTTATACATTCTTTACAATACTAAGAATACAGTGTCTCAGAAACAAGTCTCTCCAGTCCATTTGTATTAACTGCTAGATGTATAGCTGCAGAATTTTTAACCTTAGGTGAGATTCCAAGACTTGTCTGACATAAAAGCAGAAGTTAACTTGTTTTAATTTATGATCTTGTGAAAAACAGAGTTCACTCCTTGGAACTTTTAAAAGTTTAATAATTATAGGATAAAGAAGGACAATATTTCCAGCGCTGGGGTGCTCCCTGCCAACAGCCAAAGAACACACCAGTATATAGTGTTATCTTTATACCTTTACATCTGACTGGGGTACATGCATATTCATGTGTTTTTCATACATTATTCAAACTTTCTTTTGACCTTTCTGATGTTTTAGGAAATTCTTTGTTTGGCTTCTTCTCACCCCAGCTTATCTGCATGACATCCTGGGTGTCAGGTCAATATATTTTATTTCTTCTTGTGTCTCCATTCTGCTGTTTCACATCCTCTGATAAGGATTTACTATTGTTGCATTGTGTTGCAATTTCCTGTTTTAGACTTCCCAGTCCCCCAGGTGTGCCAACCTCTCCTTTCCCCTCCCCCTTGCTCCCTTGCTAGGTGCTGTCCGTCAAGCTCTACATTCCAGCAAGGGCATCATGTGATTGGCAGAAGTTCAAAAGATGCTTCTCAGTCCTGGGGTCATTGGCCTGTCTATGTGTCATTGTCCCCTGAGACCCTCCCCCTCCCACCTGGTTGGTGGCTCACCTGTCCTTTCCCTCCCCCCTCCCTGTGGGCTTAAAAGGACATTGAGGCCATGCGGTCGGTTATTCTGTGGAGCTGTTACCAAGATTCAGAGATCTGTGACCCTGGAATAAAACTGGATTAAACCCTCCGCAGAATCCGTCTCCTTTTCCTCTTCACCTAGCCTAAGGACTTTCACCAGAAGTAAAACTGAGTTCTTATTAGCCTGGACTTGTTCCAAGTGCCTAGCTGCAACATCCAGCCAGCCAGAGGCATCTCTGTGGTGAAATACCACAGCTGCCACCTCTGTCCAAGCAGCAGGGGCCAGACGAGCCCAGGCACGTTCCATCCGGTAATATTGGAATCTTATTCCAATATTTGGCGCCCAACCGTGCGGCTGATCGAATCTGCAGCCCCAAGAAGTCATCTCAGAACCTCGGAAAGACTTTAGGCAGCTAAGCACCCATTGGAAGAGCTATGGCTGCATAGCTCTCCAGAGAGACTTTGGGACTGAATCCACAAGAAGTTTTGCGGACTGCTCAGCACCTCTGGAAAGTGCAGCTCCTTTCTGGCGAGCAAATTTTCCAGGGGAGAATAGGGGAGCCCCTCCTGCCCGTGGGGTCCTGTTCTGGTGAAGAGACACCCTGCCTGACCTTGCCAGCAACAGCTTCGATTTCGGTGAGTATTTCTGCTCCTTAGAGGGGGTAGAAGCTTGAAAAACAGTCTCTGCTGTGAGTTCTGTTCCTTTTTGCTCTTGCAGTATAGGCTGCGCAGCCCTGCGGAGCGGGAGTGATACCCTGTTAGACATAACTCACTGCGGCGTGGCTTTGCTGTCTTTCTAAATTCGCGGCGCCGGTGGAGGAGCGGGGGAGCTCTCCCTGCCCCTCCCCCCGGCTCGGCAGCGCAGCGTGCTTAGCTCTCTCGGCCGGGGGAAGCTCTCTCGGTGCGGGGGCCTCTCTACACGTGGCGCGGGGGGGGGAGGGGGGTGGGCTGCTCTCTCTCGGTGCGAGAGGGGGAGGGCTGCTTTCTCTCGGTGAGGGGGGGTGGCTTTTGCAGCGCGGTGCACGGGAGGTGCTTTCTCGGCTTTCTAGACGCGGTGCGGGGCGGCCTCAGTTTCGGCTTCACCACATGGAGCCGGCAGGGGAGGCTTAGTCTCTCCCTCGCAGCGGCAGGGCGGGTTCCGATTCCATGCTGCTGCCGTGGCAATTTTAAAAGTAGTGTAAGCTCTTGCACTGTGAAAGGCTAACGTCTGCTCGTTATTGTAATGGGTTAAAACTTTAGGTTTGTTCATCAAAGCCGACAAAGTTATTCCAGTAAGACTGTTGCACCACCTCAATTTGTTTGTTTAAGTAAATTTCCAGACTTAAAAGGATAAGGAAGATTAAACCAAAAACAATGGGTTTCACAAACACTTGTTTATCTGCTTAGTAAACTCTTAATATGGGTGATGGGCTTGCTATGATTGATAACACAGTATTAGCTTATCCGCTCAGTAAACCTAGGATTCCAGGAACTCAGCAGATTGAGCCTAAAATTCCAGGAATCAGACAAAGGAAAATTACCAACCTTCATCTTCAGACCCCGGGAGGTGGACTATGACCACCTAGACACAAAAGAAGAATACACAGAGTACTACACATCAACCCGGAAGCAGGACTGTATAAGAACTCCACGAAATGCGCGGCAGTGGTAGAGCGGGGACTCTCCTGTCGCCCAGCGCACCCGGGGCGCTGACTTTGCCTATTATTGCTTGCTCTATCAATTAATAAATTTCATTTTATTTGGACTTATTAGTCGGTGATTAATTCCCCACCGCAACTAACCTATAACAGCTATCGCTTCTTATCTGTGTTTTTTTTTAGAAATCGGTAGTTGATTTGGCTTTGTTTTCGGTCCGCGGAACTTTGTATTGTGCCTTTTACATCTAAAATGGGCTCAAAGTTAAGCACAGCACAAAAAGGAGTGTATTATCATATTGTTGCGATTTTAGTCAGTGGAAATGTAAAGTTCTCTAAAGGAAAATTGAAACAGTTTATCCGGTGGCTTTTTCTACACTTCCCATAAATTTCCCCTGAAGAAGTCCACAATATTAAATTTTGGGATAAAGTAGGAAATGAATTGATAACCTTGGGACAGTCTGGGGATATATCTTCAGTTAAATTCCTTTTCTGGAGTTTACAGGTTCGAACAGCCTTGCTCAAAGGGAACTTGAGAAAAAGCCAAATATTAATCAATGTACCCCTGCTCTCCCCCTCGCAGCTCTAAACCTCTTACCCCAAAACTTGGTGTTTTAAAGAGAGCATACTCTGCTAATGCCCTGGGAAGTCGACTCCCAGAGCACTTTAAAATGCCTGAGTTCCTTTGTCCACAAGGTCCTGGCCAGACTGCGTGGAACCTTTCCCAAAACCCCTGTGTCCCCTGCTCTGACACCCAGAGCACGTGTTAGCTTTTCGGAGAGCAATGATCCCCAAAATGGCACCCAGTCCCTAGGGGCTCCACAAGATGGAGGATGCCACATGGCGCCTTCCCATACCTGGTCGTCTTCTTCCCAAGATCCCCCTAAGTATCCCAAAATTCCTTCCCCATCCCCCTCCCCTCCTGCTCCTTGTGACACCTCCCCTCCCCCCCTTACCTGCTGTACCCTCAGCTCCGCCCCTCTACTCCTCCCAGGGGGCGTCTGCCGATGTGACGTCACCAGGCGTCCCTGCCCCTTCCCCGAGCCCCCACGGTGGGGGCACGCCCACTGCTTCTCCCCACAACTGTATTGGTGTTCCAAATGCTTCCGATTCAAGTGATACAGGGCAGGAAACTGCAGAACCAATACAGGGTCCAAATTTGTCATTCGCTCCTGTTACGTATCAGCCTGCAGCACAAGGGGAAGCAGCACCAACTGCTAATTGGAGCTCTTTTGGATGACAATTTATTAAAGAGGTGTGAAAATCACACAAGGAGTATTGCCCACACAGTCCATATTTCTGTGGCCTTTTAAATTCTGAACTGAGTAGGACTGTAGTAGTCTCGCATGATTTAAAACAGCTTTTCTCATGCCTCATGACCTCTACAGAATTCAGATTATGGAAATTAGCATGGAAACAACTGCTAAAAGAAGCTCTCCCAGGCTTGCATGCTGAACCAAACACAGCGAAAGATACCAATGGCTTGCCAATTACCATTGAGCATCTCTCCGGTGAGGGCCAATGGTCTTTACCCTCAGTCTAAGCTACCGTAATGAGGCAAAGTGGAAAATTTTCCAGAGTAGAAATCCATTTTGATTTAGGTTAAATGTACATCTTTGAGTTGAGTCTGTAGTTTGAAACATAGCTATGTAGCCTGACTGCAAGGCCTAGGCTGCCTAGGCTCAGGGATTCAGTGAAGGACAAAGATAAGGGGGGGGGGGGGCAGGAAGACAGAAGGTGATAAAGAGAGACAGAGACTGCTGTGAGAGCAAGTCAACCTGACCCAGGAATTCTTTCTGATAAAGAAGAACTAGCAGCAAATGTCACACGAAATTTGTAAAAATGAATATGTATAAACCTATTGTGAAATTGTATGCATATGTATTTGAGAGGAGGAGAAAAAGGGGCCTGAAGTTCCCAGAAGTACGCATGTCATTTTAGGGGAACGATTCCCACATGCGTCCAGCGCTGTAATAAACATACTGGCTTTACAACTTTCACAAAGTTGTGGAGTTTTTGGCTATATCTCCGCAAAACATTTTGGCACCCCAGATGGGAGTTCTCTGCCCCCGCAGAGGCAGAGGGGATAGACGGACCTCCAAGGCATGCCCCAGGATTTTCCTGGAGGGGCTCTGCTCATCTCGGCTTGCCTCCTGCATGGAGAGACAAGGACCTGCTGGCATGCGGAGGATATGGTATGTATTTAGAGGCTCCCAGAGGAAAAGAGAGATAGGACAACTGAGTAAAGATAGGACAGCTGAGTAAGTCACTCAGAGATGTCTGAGTGCTCGGCCTGCGCCGAGAACTAGAGACGGGAGTTCACTGTTTGATAGGGTGGACCGCTAGCGCCCCTGGGAGTGGGTCAAGTGAACCTGTGTGTGTGTGTGGTGTCTGGACACTATATTATTGTATGGATATTGCATTGTGTAGTTAATGTTAATGTGTCTGTAATCGTGCAAGTGTGTGGCGTATGAAGGAGAGAGCGAACAAGTGAGTTCAC